GCTTATAAGCCAATCCTTTGATTTGAGCGACATCGCGACAACACGCCACACGACAACGCGACGTTTGGCGTGCTTCGCTAGCTACAAGACGGCGCACAAAAACGTTCCAAATCAGCCACTATAGAAATCAACTTTATTTCTCAACGAGAATGATTTGGAGTACGGGTAACTGATGCCTGTACTCCAGTTAACTTACTGTGCATGTCTATGTATACGATTTAACTGTGACACTTTTTCAAACTGGCAGATGGCGCAAGTCTTTTGTAGAACATGGTCAAAGGAAATGCACTTTATGTAATCAAAATGGTATTGCCGATGAATTCCACTATATGTTAAAATGCCCTTTCTTCTGTTTTAGTAGGAGAAGCCTAATTCCAAGTAAATATTTCAATCGACCGAACACACTAAAATTCAAAGAACTGATGCAGTCAATGTGGCGCCGTTAAATGTCGCAACGCCGCTAAATGTCGCACTTGCCGCTAAATGTCGCACCATTGCCGCTGAATGTCGCTAAATATCGCAAAATCATTTGCCGTTAAATGTCGCAATGTTAACATTAAATGTCGCACGAGTTTCCCTTACCGTTAAATGTCGCAACAGTACCGTTAAATATCGATTGAACTAAAGTTTTATTGTTAATTAAATCTGCCTACTCAATACGAATTTTGTCTGTTTGAAAGCGAGTGAATTTATTATATAAGGATGAAATATTAAAAATGAAGCTTACAGATAAAGATTTTCATTACAGCAAAGCAATGATATAAAAAGCCTAAATTCTCTGGCCAATACGGCTAGCTGTCTTCAGCTAAATAGCAAGGCCAATATGAGCTTAACCAATTATTTGTATTCTTATTATATGGTATTTACTGAGAATCTTTCATATGTTAAAGCGACTTGGCGAGTAAAATATCACTTGCCACAATGTCAAGGCGTAAATAGTGTTTGACAAATCGTAAAATGTACTAAATCTTGTGAACTCATTCTAACTTTGTCATCTGCTTACTGTGTGTGTATTTGCGTTTATTTATACTCGCCACCGGTTGCCCATATGGGCGAGTCCTCCAGAAGTGTATTAGTCATTTTAGATTTTGGAGATAGCGTAATTACAGGTACAGAAAGATGCCCCAATTCCAGAAGCTTCCCCTGGTTCTTTAACGTGCCAAGTTGTTTAAGCACCCATACATGGGACCTCGATTAAAAGTGTTATCGGAAAGACTGATTAGTAATTTTAGTTGGCCAGTCCGGGAATCGACCCCACAAGGTCGAGATTACAAGTCTCGCGCTCTAACCGATTGAACTATGCGGGCTGGCTGCTAACAAAAATTCCGGTGCATATTATATGTGTTAATCGTAAAATTATGTCATATCTAACGCCCGACTGCGGATCGAATACTAAATGATCAAGAAGTACTACATGATAATTTTTGTTTTCGATTTTCGTATTGACCGTGCATTTCATACTATTTTTTTCACGTATTTGCCGTTTCTGATAAAATAAAAATTTTTGCCTTCACGTTTAAAGTGAATATTTAATATGTATTTGGGGGAAAATATAAGAAGGGAGATAATTTAGCAAAAATACCTGTCAGGATCATCTGTCCTTTAGAAATGCATTAGTACTTTTATTTGAAATAAGTATTTAAGTTTAAAGTGAATATGTTTGAAATTAGCCGTAACCGAAAGGTTAATCAGAGCGAAAACATCTTAGAGAAATAAGGGGAATAACTTTGCAAACTAGGATTAACTGCCCTTTGGTATTGCATCATATGATTATAGTAAACAAATAAACCACATTTAAAGTAAATTCGGTAAGGTCTGAGAAAATAAATGAAATTACTTTAACCAAATTCTGAGAGCGACAAAACCATAATAACTTTTATCTGTTGTCAATCAGGGTTACAAATGAAAATGGGAAACAAAAGAAAAATACTTATCTATTGAGAATTTAGTATCAATTATCCTTTCTAGCCTAAAGATTACATTATATAGCAGCTCAAAACCTCGATATTTAGGTTCATAAAAGAAAACAAGTAAAACAAAGATGGCAATTACAATAAAAATAACTATGAGAATGTTAAAAAGTAATATAATACTACTTTAATCACGATTTTAACATGAATTTACATCTTGCGACAGTTAACGGTAGTGTTGCGACATTTAACGGTAAGGGAAATTCGTGCGACATTATAGGGTTAACGCACGTTTTTCCGTGTTATAACGTCTGCAGAGTCCCGAGGAATGGTTGGTGCCCGAGCCCGGTAGGGCGAGGGCTCCAACAGTTCCGAGGGACTCTGCAGACTTTATAACACGAAATAAACGTGCGTTGACGCTATTATAGCATAAAATTTTCAAACAGATTCGTGATGTATAGTTTATACAAAACACAATTACATTAAATTCTTGTGCTTGGACGGTATTTATCCAATTCTATGTTTTACGTATGCGTTTCATTTTTCCGGGGCAAACAACAAAATTCTTGGAACCGAACGAAATTTTGAATTTTAATTGATTTAACAAAGCTTTGCCTTTGGAGATTTATTATCTCAAGAAAAAAAAACACGTGGCATTACTCTACCCTCTACCCAAGACAAAACATGACCCTCAGAAATTCTTAGAATTATTTCAGATTCATGAGTGACATCAGAATTAATCGGGTTTTTTTTCAAGCAAACAAGTTTATAAAAATATCAGGCACTAAGCATTATTCTCTCAAAGAAATATAAAGAGCATTTATCAACATTAACATAAATAAAAAACATTTTCTCATATTAATTTTGTGTTATCTAGTTTTGTAAGTTAATCGGAGTGTTAAACTGAATGACAGGTATAGATTCTACTGTATTTGTTTACATTGACAACTGTCCGTTTCTTAGAAAGGGCTACAACCAAGATTAGCACCGATGTCTATACGCCGTTTTTCCGGCATATTTACTTGAATATGCGACTGAGGCCCTCGAATCAATAAATTTCAATATAACAAGAGCGCATGACTCTTTGGCAAACAGGCCAAATCGTCATGTTTTGTTTGTTTACTGGGCCCTGTATGTATTGCGCATAGGTGAAACCGGGCTATAACAAGAGCGCGTGACTATGTTAACACATGGTTTTGGTCCCGTTATAACATGGACAAAATAGGGAAAAATAGCCGATTTTATGCTATAATTAGCGTTAACATTGCGACATTTAACGGCAAATGATTTTGCGACATTTAGCGGCAAGTGCGACATATAGCGGCGTTGCGACATTTAACGGCGCCTCAATCACAAAAAGCAATGTTATTTAATAAACAAGCAATTATCATAGTGTTGCAAGCAATCCATAAGTCCCCTACCGGTTAGAACCCCATCAACATTCTGAAGGGCCATTGGCCATTCACTAATGTTTCAATTTTCCTATATTTTAAGTATTTGTTGGAAAAGTTCTTTAAAATTGATCACAGGAAACAGTTTTTATGAACAGACAGACAGACGGACTGAAGGACACTCTAAAGTTAATATTTGAAACATCCCTGTTACCAAAATATAACATTTTTAAAAGCAAAATTCTTAAAGAGGAGATAACTCTTGAATTAAAGATGCAATTTCATAAAAAATTTTCAGCTCTTTTTGACTAATCACTAATATTGTTATATTTGCCATGTTTAAGCCTATTTGTTGCCAAGGCAACCAATATTTTTTCAAAATAGGAAGAAAAGATAAGACATGCATAATCTCCAGACTGCCATCTACCCATATGTCAAGTTTCATAAAAATATTTCCAGTACTTTTTGAGTTATCACTGGATTCAGTTTATGTGTAAAATTTGCCATATTTTCAGTCTATGTGTTGCCATAGCAACCAGATTTTCAACATAGGAAGAGAAGAAAAAGACGTGCATAATCTCCAGACTCCCATCTACCCATACAACAAGTTTCATAAAAAAAGATTTCTATTACTTTTTGCGTTAACACTGGATCCAGTTTATGTGTAAAATTTGCCATATTTTCAGTCTATTTGTTGCCATAGCAACCAAAATTTTCAACATATGAAGAAAAGAAAAAGACGTGCATAATCTCCAGATTCCCATCTACCCATATTTCAAGTTTCATAAAAATATTTCCAGTACTTTTTGCGTTATCAATAGATCCAATTTATGTGTAAAATTTGCTATATTTTCAGCCTATTTGTTGCCATAGCAACCAGAATTTTTAAACATGTGAAGAAAAGAAAAAGACGTGCATAATCTCCATACTGCCATCTATCCATATATCAAGTTTCATAAAAATATTTTCAGTACTTTTCAAGTTATCGCGGGATCCAGTTTTGTGGACGGACGGACTGACGGACAGACAGACGGACGGAGGGTAAACCTAAAGTCCCCTCCGGTAAACCGGTAGGGGACTAATTATACTTTGTTATTTATAGATGAAACGTGATTATGCATGATTCAATTTTAGCCTGATAAACTACAGGCATTAAAAAGTGACTTAACTTCCAGTTATTAAAAAGTGACTTAACTTCCAATTATGATACTAAGAGTACCTTTAGTAATTATATAAAGATTGCTGCTGCTTGCAAAACTTTAACAAGTATTTTTTTAAGTTCTAAAAGGGCTGTAATTAATTCAAAATCCATGCCAGTCTTATAGGCTATAGACATTGAACAGTGACCACTAATGAAAAAGATGTATAAAGTTTCAAATGAGTAAAATAGTCCCAATATTCTTCAAATAATTCAGCAAAAAGTTATTAGATCTTTCACATATCATATGTAGAGGGAGTATGCTGGTCCAACTAAACTAGTTCATGTGCATAGATAACACATTGAAAGATATGCTAGGGTACTAGCATGTAATTTTTCACTCGTTTAAGTTGTACATGTACTTATTTCACAATAAGCCTGGTCTCAGAAAACATATAGGCTGACATTACAAATACTTTAGTAAACCTGAACTCGGGGCCCAGATAATCTTTATATAAATCAATCACTTAATTCATAATCAAATTAAACAAAGACTTAAAATTTGTATCAAAATGTTTATTGACTTAAATAATTATGTGAAGCATTAATGCCATGAGAAATTCTTTCATCATCCATGAATAGCATATTTTTATCACTTAGTCACAGTCGTTTATAATTCAACATATAAATACATAGGTTTTGTTTCAGAATTTATTCAAAATTCTTTAAAGTATCAAATCTAGTTATGAAAATAAAATAGCACAATAATGTAGTACTTTTTTTCACATGGGTTCAAGCTGAACACGAATATTGTTTCACATGTTATAGATTCAATAGAGAAAAAAACATTTTTTTTAAGCAAAGAGAAAAATATGATTTATTTTCACTTCTTTAACTGTAAAAAATATATTAAGGACAACTCTTCACAAGTTTGAATTACCCAACTAACTAAATTAAAGGGTGTATACCTATAACTGACAACATATCATAAAACTATCAGAAACGGAACAATTCTTACGATCAATCATATCTAAAGAGAGTTTTAGTAATATTTGTCTCTGTTACTTAGTTTAAATGAAAAGTGCATAAAAAAAGAATAACTTTGTACCTCTTGAATCATTTTAAACTTTTAAGATTAGAAGAAGACTGGTGTCAGCTTATGCACAATAAGCCTTTGTATTCAAAGATTGTGGCTATATAAAGAAGCTTGAAATGTGAACAATTTAGTCAAAAATCCACATTTGTCATAGAAATTTAACTGCCGACATTTTCATCGGACAAAAATAAACATTAAAGTCTTCTATACTCAATAACTGTAGCTTGTCACTTGTGGTATGTTAAATAAAATCATCTTGTAGAGAGAAACTTGTGATATTTTGCCAGTTTATGAACTAGGCTAATTTGTGAACCATTTCTTCCTTTGTAATGAGATGATTGGTCTTATTAACTAGTGACATTAAAGTGTTTATATTAAATGACCAGTCATTGAGAATATCATTGGGGTCTTTCTGCTGTGTGAAATTAACAATTCCCTCCAGTCTGTCAATCTTTGCCTGTATCGTCTTGTTCACAACGAGGTTTGACAAAAACTCTTCTATCTCCTAGAAAATTCAAAAGTAAAAAGATGAATCTAAAATATCAGCCGATGAAATAAGTTTCCAGCCAACTATAGAAACATATCCTTAATTAAGTTAATATACATGTTTAAACCTTTTATATAAATAAATTATTCTGTAAATTTAACATTCTATCGCAATTTCAATAGATCAAGATAGTTCTTCAATAAGCAAATTAACCTATATATACTTCATTAACTTGTAAGTGTAGCAAGTTTATAATTCTAACACACTTTACATTATTATTTCCCCTGTTGGACAGACAGGGCAGTCAAGTGCATTATTATAAAATATATGCACAGCACAAAAAAGAATGCTTACACATCATAAAGGTTTAAATCAAATGTGACATAAATAAACTTAATAATGATGTCAGGAAAATTGCTTCTCTACTCAACATGTTTTTTTATGAATTCCCTATATGACTAGCATGTTAGGATGGAGACAAATGTTAATTTTTAAACATATAGTATAATTATGCACCTATTATTGTTCAAACACTTTGTAATTAAGCACTCATGTCTACAGGTCCTCAGGAATATATTCCTGCACATTTGAATTGAGCAATTGAACTGAAATCATGCATTATTCTACAACAATGCACTCAAAATTGATTGTCTATTTTTCGAATTATATCATGATCAGTAAACTAAAATAAATGATCAATGCAAACATTAAACTTACAGCTTCAGTAAGGTCTAACAGCTCTCCCATTCTCTTCATACGTATTCTTGTGTAGTATTTTGCCATTACCCTTATATTCTGTAATGGAATAATGCATTGTACATGTATAAATAATGTTTTTATCAAGGTTGGATCTTGAGATTTTACAACATATAAGATTGCTGTTTCCCAAGGTTTATTTTTACCCTCAATCACAATTTACAATTCTCTTCACTATGAAATTTTTATTAAGTGACAGCAACTATAGAATAATGTCTTATTAACTCATAAATCAAGGGTTGACTGCAAAACTGTTGTAACTGTCCTTAAGTTAATACAGTTGTGTGGTCAACCCTCAAAATGCTTTAAACACTAACAGAATACTGAATTTCTATATAGAAGGAATAATAATCTAGAAAGCGAAAAATTCAAAACAAGTGAAATCAATAATAGAAATTCTTGCCAAATAGCCATTACAAACATGTTTGTTTCACTTACATGTTCAACAACTCTATTTTTAAGATCCACCCATCTTTTAGCTCCTCCCTCTAGCTTTGTGTTGAATACATGAGTGGGTGGATTTCCTGCTGAGCCAAGCTTCAACTCGGACTCATACTGTTGACAAAATGGCTTCCACTGAATCACTTCATGTGTAGTGAACTGCTTTAATAGCTCTCTGAAACATGTGTGTAACAATAAAATAAATGAAGTACTTATGCAAAATAACATGTCATTTCTGATCAGTGAAGGCACTCTATAAAACATGTAAAAATACTGTTAAAGAAGTGTTCATCTTTAAACAATAATAGCTGGAAAAAAAATAGAAGCAATTGTTTGTTTGTTTGTTTGTTTGATTGGGTTTTACGTCACACCAACACAGTATAGGTCATGATGGCAACGTTCCAGCTTTACTGGTGGAGGAAGACCTTAGGTGCCCTTCCGTGCATTATTTCAGACACAAACAGGCACTTGAGTAGAACCACTGACGTTCCATAAGTTAGCTGGATAGCTTCCTCACATGAAAGAATCCAAAGTCCCTGTCGGGATTCGAACCTACAGCGGTAAGGGGAAGTGGTTTGAAGTCAATGACCTTAGCCACTCAGCCATGGACACCCCAGGACGATTGTGAACGAAGCTATAATCTAAAGTTGGTAACTGGTTGATCCTACAGAAATATCTTGAAAGTTTCCAAGATTACGTCTGAAATGTTTACATCTTGCAAAATGATCATCAAAACATCAAACTATATTTAAGACAACAATAACTTAAGTTAAAAAAAGAGTTTAAAGCTAAAAATAAACAAGGGGGCCATGATGGCCCTGAAGTCGCTCACCTGTATATAGGCCCCCGGAGCGGGACCAAATTAAACCCCAGGGCTTTTATTTTAACAAATTTGGTAGACACTCACTAGAAGATGTTTCATGCTTAGTATCTAAACTCTAGCTATTTGGTTTTTTTTCAAAAAAGTTTTTGCTATACACATATAAGGAAAATCAATGACCCCCCGGGCGGGGCCAATTTTGACCCCAGGACTCTTATTTGAACAAACTTGGTAGACATCCTTTAGAACATGTTTCATGCTAAATATCTTAGCTCTAGCTCTTTGGGTTCTTTAAAAGAAGATTTTTTTAAGTTTTTACTATATGCATATAGTGAAAATCAATGACCCCCTGGGGTGGGCCAATTTTGACTCCAGGGCTTTTATTTGAAAACAAGAGGGCCATCATGGCCCAGTCGCTCACCTGTATATTGGCCCCTGGAGCGGGGCCAGTTTAAACCCCAGGGCTTTTATTTGAACAAACTTGGTTGTATATGTATGCATGTATATATATATATATGTATGTATATATATATATATATATATATACATGCATACATATATACATATATATATCATATATATATATATATATATATATATATAAATATCAAATATATATGGGTATATATATAATATGTATATATCTAAAAAAAAAAGTCAAGCTAATGAATGACCCCCGGGGCGGGGCCAATTTTGACCCCAGGGCTTTTATTTGAACAAACTTGGTAGACACCCATGAGAACATGTTTCATGCTAAATATCTTAGCCATAGCTCTTTGAGTTCTTTAAAAGAAGATTTTTTAAGTTTTTACTATATGCACATAGGGAAAATCAATGACCCCAGGGGGCGGGGCCAATTTTGACCCTAGGGCTTTTATTTGAACAAACTTTGTAGACACTCATTAGAAGATGTTTCATGCTAAATATCTTAGCTCTAGCTCTTTGGGTTCTTTAAAAGAAGATTTTTTAAGTTTTAACTATATGCATATAGGGAAAATCAAAGACACCTTGGGGCGGGGCCAATTTTGACCCTAGGGCTTTTATTTGAACAAACTTGGTAGACACTCACTAGAAGATGATTATGCTTTATATCTAAACACTAGCTATCTGGGTTTTTTCAAAGAAGATTTTTAAGTTTTTGCTATACACAGTCATATAAGGAAAATCAATGACCCCCGGGGCGGGGCCAATTTTGACCCTAGGGCTTTGATTTGAACAAACTTTGTAGACACTCACTAGAAGATGTTTCATGCTTAATAGCTAAACTCCAGCTATTTGGGTTTTTTTAAAGAAGATTTTTTAAGTTTTTGCTATACACATATAAGGAAAATCAATGACCCCCGGGGCGGAGCCAATTTTGACCCCAGGGCTTTTATTTGAAAAAACTTGGTAGACACCCATTAGAACATGTTTCATGCTAAATATCTTAGCTCTAGCTCTTTGAGTTCTTTAAAAGAAGATTTTTTAAGTTTTTACTATATGCATATAGGGAAAATCAATGACCCCCTGGGGCGGGGCCAATTTTGACCCTAGGGCTTTGATTTGAACAAACTTGGTAGGCACTCATTAGAAGATGTTTCATGCCAAATATCTAAGCTCTAGCTCTTACGGTTTTTTAGAAGAAGATTTTTTAAGTTTTTCTTATTGCTAAATATCTAAGCTCTAGCTCTTACGGTTTTTTTAGAAGAAGATTTTTTAAGTTTTTCTTATTGGTTGCCATGGCAACCAGAGTTTTTAATGGAATTTAAATTTTTGAACAACTTTGAAAGGGGTCCACCTAAGGATCATTTCTGTAAAGTTTGGTTGCAATTGGCCATGTAGTTTAGGAGGAGATGTTGTTTGAATAGTTTGACGCCATTTTTTGAAGGACGCACAACGGACGCAGAGTGATGACAAAAGCTCACCTTTGAGCACTTCGTGCTCAGGTGAGCTAAAAATTAGTAGACACTCACTAGAAGATGTTTCATGCCAAATATCTAAGCCTTAGCTCTTTTGGTTTTTTAGAAGAAGATATTTAAAGTTTTTTCTTTTGGTTGCCATGGCAACCAGAGTTCTGGATGGAATTAAATTCTTTGAACAATTTTCAAAGGTGACCACCAAAGGAACATTCCTGTGAAGTTTGGATGAAATTGGCTTAGTGGTTTATGAGGAGATGTCATTTAAAGTAAAAGTTTACGGATGCCGGACGAAAAGCGATCACAAAAGCTCACCCTGTCACTTTGTGACAGGTGAGCTAAAAATAGCTAACTGATACAAGGAAACAGTTTATCATTACCATCAGTAAAGTTTAATGATTTCATCATTTCATAATGATATTAAAGAAGCAAATTTACAAATTAATGTTGCAATTAAACATTCATAAACTTAAAATGTGTTTGTTTATAATATTTGTTTTCTGGATTTTAATGCTGATTTTAACTTACATACTTCATATATAAAAAAAAAAAAAAAAAATGTACGCGTGTGGTTGTTGCATAAAAAATTACTGAATGTACGCGTGTGGTTGTTCTTTTTGGATTCATACTTCATATATAAGCATACTGTGATACATAGACTGTATTATATTAAGACAACTTACTTGTATTTTGGCATCTCATTGAGCAGTCTGTCCTCCTTCACTCTATGAATCATATCAGATTGTTCATTGTCAAACGGTGAAAGAATCAAATACAATGCCACAAATCTCAATGCCTGAAATATAGGGATAACCTGCCTAAAACTTTTGATACGATAAAATGAACACCCAGTTCACAAGTTTACTTCAAAGGCATCTTTTATTGAATTTTGAAATACATGCATATACACTAAGGAAATCTTAGTATACTTATAAAACTTTTACTGCAACCAAATTCAAAGGCCAGAGATTAAAAGCTACATCCACTATGCAACAATGGTTAGCCCCCTTTTTAATTCAAAGATTTTATACAACACTTTTTCATGTTGTATATTAGCTATTGTTTAATACCATACAATTTGCAAAGTACACAAAGTTTTCTAAAGGTTCTAATGGTTACCAGAACCTCATCTTTTTACCACTTCACAGAGGCAATTTCTTAATAAATATGCAGAAACTGCAAAGGCTCAGCAAACTTATCATACTATCAAAACAAAGTTTGCCAACAACAGACAATCATCTTCATATAACAAGAGGGCCATGATGGCCCTGAGGTCGCTCACCTGTATATAGGCACCCCAACCCCCACCCCCAACTTTGCAGGGCCAATTTAATCCAGGGGCTTTTATTGCACAAACTTGGTAGACACCCATAAGAAAATGTTTCATGCTAAACATCTAAGCTCTAGCTCATGAAGATTTTTTTAAAGTTTTTACTATACACATATAGTTAAAAACAATGACACCCCTGGGGCGGGGCCAGTTTTGACCCCAGGGCTTTTATTTGAACAAACTTTGTAGACACTTACTAGAAGATGTTTCATGCTTAATATCTAAACTCTCGCTATTTGGGTTTTTTCAAAGAAGATTTTAAGTTTTTGCTATACACATATAAAGAAAATCAATGACCCCCGGGGCAGGGCCAGTGTAAGAAATTAGGATTTGAATCGACTAGGCTGGTTGGACTACCAGATTGGAATATTCACTAGCCCAAAAAACATTTCACTAGCACGATTAACTTGTTCTAAACAGTTGTTTATATTGCCTGTGAAAATACAGTAGCCTAGTCGGGCTTGTTACTGTGAAAAGTTGGTAGCCCGAGGAGAAATTTAGTAGTCAGGGGCTATCGGACTACTGCTAATTTCGAACACTGCAGGGCCAATTTTGACCCCAGGTCTTTTATTTGAACAAACTTTGTAGACACTCACTAAAAGATGTTTCATGCTTAATATCTTAACTCTAGCTATTTGGGTTTTTTCAAAGATTTTTTAAATTTTTGCTATACACATATAAGGAAAATCAATGACCCCCGGGGCGGTGCCAATTTTGACCCCAGGGCTTTTATTTGAACAAACTTGGTAGACACCTATTAGAACATGTTTGATGCTAAATATCTTAGCCATAGCTCTATGAGTTCTTTAAAAGAAGATTTTTTAAGTTTTTACTATATGCATATAGGGAAATTCAATGACCCCCCGGGGCGGGGCCAATTTTGACCCCAGGGCTTTTATTTGAACAAACTTGGTAGACACTTATTAGAACATGTTTCATGCTAAATACCTTAGCTCTAACTCTTTTGGTTCTTTAAAAGAAGATTTTTTAAGTTTTTACTATATGCATATAGGGAAAATCAATGACCCCCTGGGGCGGGGCCAATTTTGACCCCAGGACTTTTATTTGAACAAACTTGGTAGACACCTATTAGAACATGTTTGATGCTCAATATCTTAGCCATAGCTCTTTGAGTTCTTTAAAATAAGATTTTTTAAGTTTTTACTATATGCATATAGGGAAAATCAATGACCCCCGGGGCGGGGCCAATTTTGACCCCAGGGCTTTTATTTGAACAAACTTGGTAGACACCTATTAGAACATGTTTGATGCTCAATATCTTAGCCATAGCTCTTTGAGTTATTTAAAAGAAGATTTTTTAAGTTTTAACTATATGCATATAGGGAAAATCAATGACCCCCCGGGGCGGGGCCAATTTTGACCCCAGGGCTTTTATTTGAACAAACTTTGTAGACACCTATTAGAACATGTTTGATGCTCAATATCTTAGCCATAGCTCTTTGAGTTATTTAAAAGAAGATTTTTTAAGTTTTAACTATATGCATATAGGGAAAATCAATGACCCCCCGGGGCGGGGCCAATTTTGACCCCAGGGCTTTTATTTGAACAAACTTGGTAGACACCTATTAGAACATGTTTCATGCTAAATATCTTAGCTCTAGCTCTTTGGGTTCTTTAAAAGAAGATTTTTTAAGTTTTTACTATATGCATATAGGGAAAATCAATGACCCCCCAGGGCGGGGCCAATTTTGACCCCAGGGCTTTTATTTGAACAAACTTGGTAGACACCTATTAGAACATGTTTGATGCTCAATATCTTAGCCATAGCTCTTTGATTTCTTTAAAAGAAGATTTTCTAAGTTTTTACTATATGCATATAGGGAAAATCAATGACCCCCCGGGGCGGGCCAATTTTGACCCCAGGGCTTTTATTTGAACAAACTTGGTAGACACTCACTAGAAGATGTTTCATGCCAAATATCTAAGCTCTAGCTCTTATGGTTTTTTAAAAGAAGATATTTAAAGTTTTTTCTTTTGGTTGCCA